GCTCAAGGGAGAGGTCAGATGTCCTTGCAAGGCTCTATGCTAATCTTTGGAGTCCATTATGCAGTTTCATGGAAGCGAAATTTTGACACAACATCATTACAAAAAGCACCCACACCTTTCACATTTCCTTAACTAAAATTGCAAGCGCTGAAGTGAATCGGCCACCTTCGCAAGTCACTTCAAAAGTGTTTATATCCGCAGGATCTGTTTGTATAAACCAGTTTTGTCCGAAAAATACCAACTTTACTGGAAATTATCTTGCTGTATGGTGCGATTGTGGCGCAGGCTCAACTTTGTTCAATCTCTCTCTAAGTTCAACTTTACGGGTTGAAGTTGTGCCTTCCTCGTAATGGCCAGTGAGCCTTCGGACCATCTTTGTGCTTTCCTGGTAATGCTGCATCTTTTCACCGCTCTCCAGTTCATATTTTTAAGATAGAAACATTAAATTACGCGCGACGCTGATTTCAAGAGGAAATACTGTTTGGGACAGCCCTCATAACTCTTCTCTAATCATTGATAGAAACCTTTTTGTGGATGTTCGAAACTTGTAGAATATCTGGAGACGTAGGAGCTTTTCAATTATCCATGAGCAGAGCTAAGGACTGTCCGAAGTGCTTTGGAAAGACTCGCGAACCGTGCCAAGCACCATGAAATGCATAAACTTTACCTTTTCTTCAAAAGGACGAGTACGAAACATTCCATAAATTTAGCTAATGGTGTGTTTGTAACAAACATTCAATTTCACAGGCAGGTTGGTTGTTTCTGATAATGTAGTATTCATTTTCACAGGGTGACCTTATATTATGAAACGGTGCAAAAAACGAAAAATAATTATAAAAAAGTTAAAAGAAAAGCTGCTCCCGCCAAAATTTCGCTCCAGGGGTTTTTCATAGTGAGGAATAAGCTGGTAATACTAGAAAAATTCCAGTCTGCTGCTTGTCCCGGAAATGCAAAATTTTAGGGTTTTAATAATAATTATATTTATGTTTTATATTTATGAAACTCACTGTGGTTCCGCGAACCCACCTAAAAAGTCGCAACGGGACTAATTTTTGAACTGCTGATTTTTCAGGAACGTTGGGTACTTTTTAGAAAGCTTGAATCCTGTAGTTTGTCATACCGTGTTCAGCTTCCCAAATGAATGACTTTGAAGGAAGTTATGATCGTTTAAAGGTTGAAAAGTCGCATTTGCACAGAAAAAAGTTCCAACGTGCTAAATTTTTATTAAATTAGCTTTCGAAGAATTTTCAGCCATGATTGGAGAGAGAATAATTTGAATTTTTCAAATCAAATAACTCCGGCGCAAAAGCTCGAATATGAAGGAAGTTAAAAATTGTAGTGCAATTGTCATTTCTTGCTTAATAACTTATTCATTTCAAATTGTTTGAGAACAAATGAGCTTTAGAAAGGCTGAGCCTCGGTGATCCAAAATCCACCTCCATCTTCCGAAGTACCTGAAATTTAACGAAGAAAAATTCGTCTACATTTCAATATCCCCGTTCGTCACCTGTTCCCGATCAGCAAACGCGCTCCATCGTCAGGGCGCGATTCAGCACATTCAAAACGCGATCAATACGCGTTTCCATTCCTTTGCTACCTCTACTTTTTATATTATTGCACCTATTGCACCTATCGGTTTTTTGGGTCTCATCCGGTAAGGGGGCATGTGGTGCGACAGTTCATATCGCGTGAAGTTATCCACTTTTTTTGCAGGGGAGGGAAGCTCCGGGGTGGGTGTAAAAGTTTGAGCGAAATGGTCCATGCACCGAGGGATTCCCTCCCTTGCACACAAGTATTTCATACAAGAGGGTCGTAAAAAATTCCAAAAGGTACCAACTATAGGGTTGACCCTGCTCGGAAGTAAGTATCCGTGGTGCAACGGGTCAAATATGAGAACTTACGCCGCTGAAACCCATATCGCCGCAGAACTGTGTTCCGCAACGCGTGCGGCGCCAACTGGTAGTTAGTACAATTACGTTAATTACATCTGCTCAATTGGTTGGCAATTCAATCCTCCGCGTAGGGAACTCACATCTTAGGAGGTACTTGAACTAGGTAATTCCGTGATTTCATGTTGGTAAATGGAACACCAACTCTTAAAGACTGGGTACAATGAGAAGAAAGAAATAATACTTTAGTTCCGGAGCGGTTCTCGTGGGAGTAAGGTGGATGAAGAAAATCCTCTTCACTCAGTCCCGGATGACCATCATGATAAGCTTTATGGCAAGTAGTTGTGCTGCTGACGACGTGCTTTTGGACACTCTTGTGATTTCAAGTCTGGAGCGAGTGTATAGTGACCACAGTTGTCCTTCTGAGGCCATCCCGTGCTGCAAAGCGATTATCAGAAAGGCAAAGGTTAGTCAAGGTCTCTTCATCAGATTCAACTGATCGGCTGAAACCATAGCAATACTAGTTCCTGGATCGAAAGAAACCTTTTTGAGATGTCTTTCGTGCAGCAACGTCTCTTCCCTATGCGGCTTTGATACTTATCCGCTTGGGCTGCAACTTGTGCCTCGATTCGAAAAGCTAGACGGGTCGGTGATGTTGGTTTTTGTCGACTTGAAACGCTATCTTTGACACTATGAGACGAAGTAATCAAATTATGTCGAGATATAATCATAATTCTATACAGCGAGGGCAGGGCTGCGCAAGGATATAAAGGGCAGTCGCACCTTCATTCATTTTGTGGTTGCAAAGAGGGAGTAGAAGCATGAACTTCTCTGACAACCAGATAAAAGCGAAGCGGCGCCTTTTGCCTCTGAATCACTTACTTTTTCTATGTTTTCGCACGGTATAGGAATCAGAGCAGCCCTTCCTCTAAGTTTCAAGGAACACTACTCACCTGAAGGTAACACACACGAAACTTGCTGACGAAAAAGAATGGCTCTTTCTCGAGCTAAGGGGCGCTTGTGGCGACCTGGCTAGGTCTTATCCTTTCCTTCAGATGCCTATTCCCGCCATCCAAATGTAACCGTTCCGGCTAGATTTGGGATGGCGAAAGATTAGTAGCTGTGGTCACCACGTCAATAGAACGCCCATATCTGGTGAATAGCGTTATTAATTTTGCTAATTTTTACGACTAAGTTATTAACTTTGCTAATTTTTACGATTAATTTTCATGAACAATTATGAGCCTCATATTAAGCTTCGCTCTAATTCAGGTGGTCGTCGTTGGAGGAGGGCCAAACAAAACGATCTTGGAACAGCAAGCTTGGGATGAGCATGTGAAAACAGTTCCTCCAGTATTTGGTCCACCAGGAAGTCTTACAGTCCCTCCAGCTCCAGGTCCACCAGGAATTCCTCCAGTTCCACTTCCACCAGAAGGTTCTACAATTCCACCGGCTCCAGGTCCTCCAGGAATTCTCACCACGGAATCGAGCACTGTCTATCCTCCCAGTCTTACTGACTCATTGCCTCATTACACCGACGCTCGAGGATATGTTACTCCACGCTATGAAGACATAAGGAGCGTGGACGAACACGTACATAGAGAAGAAGAACAGCGACGTAGACAACAGGAACGGTTAGGGGAGGAGGAATCACGACGAAGGGAGCAGGAGGAAGCGCAGAGAAGGGCACATGAAGAACAAAGGCGATTAGAAGAGGAGAGGAGACTAGAGGAAGCAAGGCGAAAAGAGCTTGAGGAACAGAGGCGATTAGAGGATGAGCTAAGAAGAGAAGAAGCTCGTATGAGGGAGGAGCGGTTACGATTAGAAGAGCAAGAAAGAAGAGAGCATGAAAATCGTATTAGAGAGCAGCGTCTAAGGGAGGAAGAGGAAAGAAGACGGTTAGAAGACGAGAGACGACGGCTAGAGGAGGAACGAAGAATCGCCGAAGAAGAGCGCCGGATCGCAGAGGAAAAGAGGCTTCAGGAAGAGGAAGAATTACGGAGGGAAAAGGACAGAGAATATGAGGAACAACATAGAAGAGAGGAAGAGCTCAGGCGAGAGGAACAAAGATTGAGAGAAGAAGAAAGGCGAAAGGAGGACGAGCTACGCAGGGAAGAAGAACGAAAACATAATGAGGAGCTCAGAAAGGAATTGGAATTGCGACGAGAAGAGCACAAACGTCGACTTGAAGAGTTTCAGAAGTTGGAGGACCAGAGAAGGCAGGAGTTAGCGAGATTCGAAGAAGAACGCCGATTATGGAAGGAAAAATTGAAGGCAGCCGAAGAGGGTGGAAAGAAAACGCAGCTTCTCCATATAATTTGCCATGACGGAGAGGTGATACGAACCCCAGAAGCTCGAATGGAGCTTTACAGCGAGGGCGAAGACCCTTGTGAAGAATACAAGAAGGTATAGCATCGATTGAACGAGATCTTATAGTTATTCTAGAAATCTCTGTGATTACGTTGTGCTTTCTGATTTCGGTTATGCTGCCAAAATATTGAATTCGATTGTTTCACTGTTACCATTGTTTGCTTTGTATGCGAGCTAAAGAAGATTTTTTACAAACAAAGATAAAATATTTAACTCAGTTCTCTAGATCATGTGCTGCATATTATAAAAGACCCAGTTCTAGTTCAGGAGCAGTGGAATAAGTATTTATAAATATGCAAGTTGTGGAATATCCTGAGATCCTAGAATACGGATAATTGAGAGTATATCAGTTTTTCCAAACAAAAGGTCATTAGGTCAATATGGCTAGATGAAATGAGCTATATATTTCCGTATGCATCTTGAGACTTTGAGCTTAAATTTGCTTACTCTATCTGCTAAACTCTGAGAATAGCAGGGGTGGTGATGGGGGGGGGGGACGGGTGGTGGTGAGAGAAAGAATTTCTCGTCGTTCTTTCCTTTTACGTTTCAGTGATTGCTTGCAATCACATGTACGCCCCATTATAAATGTCACGAAGAACCGTTCTGAGTTTCAGTGGCGCAGCCGGTAGTGCACTTGCTTCTCAACCGGCGGGTTGCGGGATGAGTTCTTTCTAGTGTTTGGTGTTTTGATTTCTCTAACATGGAAAGCGTCAAGGAAATCGGCAGCTACACTATATTATATGCTTCGACACTAGATGACGCTGTTGTACTTGGTGCACGCTATTGCTTCGTTTTTCCCCTTCACTTTGACACTCATGGTGCTGACGTAGCTTACGCGACGATGTGGTGGTTGGGACTTCAAGAACTAGCCTGGGAAGCAGACGAGCTCCAGAAAAGGTGAGAATTCACGCGCTCCGAAGTCGTCTCATGCTGTCTCGGCTCTGAACTGAGTATACGCTAATCTTGAATCGCACACCTCTCAGTAAATAACGACAAAGTAAGAAGATATCGAAGGAATTGTGCAAAAGCGAATCTCGTAACATAGAACTCGAAAAAGGATAGAAATGGATGTTATAGCAGACTTCGAGAAATGGTGTAGAAACGAATATGAAAGCGTGTTCTAGCGCTTGGGTTGAAGTTGCCCGCATGGCTACCGTGAGACGTCAAATAAAGGCTCACCCCATATTAGGATTGCACCACGAAAATGTAGAGAAGCTTGTCGTACAATTCGAAACGTTGTTCGGGACACGCAAGGACCGCTACCACACTTCATAACGGAAGAATGAGCGCCTTATGGATATATTGGTTTCAAGAGGGCTTCGAAACTCATCATGAAAACGACGCTATCATCAACAAGCGAGCTCCATGCACCTCATAGGACTTTAAGATTCGATAACAGTCTCACTTTCCAACACTTCACAATTTACTATTATCACAAGGTTGTAGGTTGTTATTATCACAAGGTATCACAAGGGTGGGTTATGAGCAAAATAATATTTACTTGGCCCTAGACGGGAAGGAAACTTGCACTCCCGCTATTCGGGCAGTTTTGCCTCCATTACACTAGCAGGGTATCATTTTACCATACTGAGACTTCATTGGTACATTTACCCTCCCTTTCAAAAAAAGAGAACAGCGTCAGGTGCAGACCATACACCACAAGTGACGACGGCCTCCAAGTAAATCTGGTTAGTAGTGGCTGATTTTTGGTAAATGATAGTTGTAATTAGTGACAACTGATAGAATACAACTGCAACAGGCTAATCATTTCATTGGCAGAAAACATTTACATTTTGTGGAGGCCGTCGTCACTTGTGGTGTATGGTCTGCACCCGACGCTTTCTCGTTTTTTGAAAGAGAGTATGCCAAGCCTTGTCAGCACTCACATGTATATTGTGATGAGCCACCTAGTCGACATCGGTGGAGAACCACGAAGCTTAAAGCCTCACCAGATGCTACAGTTTTTTTTTGTTGAGACCGCAAAACAAAGACAAGGCACGCCAAAAGCTGCTGTCCTATTTACCTAATCCTCCCGTTTTCGTTCAATACCCCTCAGTCCAACAATTGGCATTCCTATCCCTGGCACCGTATTGATTAACAAACACCTGATCCATTTACGATTTACTCAGCTTTCACCGTTTAGCAGCGACCAGGTGAATTGGTCATCTACTGTTCCCTATTACAATCAAATGTCAGGACGGCAACTGGCTTTGCTGGGACTGTTCGGTGCTCTTCTCGGGGTAGGTATTGTTTAAGATCGAACCACTTACAGATCAGAGTTAATAGCTTCCTATAATACTGAGTTGGAGCATAATATCGTGGCATCTTTTTTTGGAGAGTGTAAGTCCAATCAGTGCAAGTATCACCTGGAGAAGCTACAATACAATTTGAAAGTACTTTTCCCGCTCTACAAAACCATAGTTGTCATTTTCTTCAAAATTGTAGCTGTACTCAGGTATAGAGCTTAGAAGTTGGAAAATCCAGACGGCGAAAATCGGCGTTCTGACAGTTTCTTTTCCTCGGTTCGAGTAAAGAATAAAAGCCCACTTGGAAGCACTTCTGCACCATTGTTCTTTACGAACCTTGTAAAGAACCTTGTTCTAGCCGACCCTGTGTACCTTTTCTGCTTATGTTAAAGCCATATTCATTTCGTACAAATTGAGAATAATAAGGACTCCAAAAACAAGCTCAATATTTTTTAAATTCTATATCCGGTGATCTCCTGCGAAATGCAATCAAAGTTGTAAATAATGACGAAGTGATCACTGATTAGTTTTATGTTTTTATTTTTTGCTTCAAATGTTTGTGTGAAGAAATGAAAAATGCAAGCGCTACGATATTATGCTCCAAATCAATACAATTCTAAGAGTTTCAAAGAATCAATTCTTTTTTAGGGAATATTGTACCGTATCCTGACAAAGAACAATCCTCGTTCATCAGAAGTTATTCCTCATGCTCCTTTTATGAATGAAACCAAAACCGAAAAAGCAATCTTGAAGAAACTGTTGTCAACACCGCAGCGAATCGTGGGTTCATTGCCTTGCTCATGTAAAATCATCCTCTCACAAGGGAGGTCGTTCAGGGTGTGCCAAGCTTTTTCAAAACGGTCTTTTGCATGATATAGGGGCACATGCGGGAACCACAGAACCATGGTTAATTTTTCCTGAACGGCCCTCTGAATACCAGAAAAGGGGGTCCCTAGTCACACCTTTTTCACCAGTTTTTCAATCAAAGTCTATTTGTAAGGGTTACTGACGGTCCTAATCATGAATATGGTACTAATTATTCATGCTAACTCCATTTTGCGCGAATTTTGAAACGTCAACTCGAAATGCAAAAATTTGTCACCACGAGGAATCGAACTAGGGACCCCTTTCTGGTATTCAGAGGGCCGTTCAGGAAAAATGAACCATGCTTCTGTGGTCCCCATATGTGCCCCAATGTCATGCAAGAAACCATTTTGAAAAAGCTTGGCACACCCTGAACGACCTCCCTTGTAAGATGGCTCGTGCGCCATGAAATCTTTGGTTTCCTGTAGCCACAGTAAGTACGATGAGGTATCACTGTGCATTGAATAATTTGTTGAAGTTGACGCTACGAGTGCTTGGTATTTTGGAATTACTTTTCATTTTCTTATGGTACATTTCATATTGACAAACTGTGTAGCGAAGCGAATGGTCAATGCTTCAACGTCATCGATCGCTATGAGCTGGCTTCGGGAAGGTGAGCAATTTCACAGCTGTGAGTTTTCCGAGGAAAATTCGAGTCGTACATGAAGTGTGGGAGCGTAAAACGAGAGAGATGGTAAGAGGTGCAGCCTTCAAAACGTGGGATCGCGGAGTCAGGATAACCCTATGCTGGGATTTATCTTCCCCATTGAACTCTGACTCAAATATTCGTAAGAAGAGGGGCTTTCCAAATGCCTAATCATGCTGAACTGGATTATATGTAGTGGTTTTGCGACTATTTTAGAACTTTCAGCATGAGGATATTCTCTGGTGCTCTCACAGTTTGCTTACTACAGTAAGCAGAGCACTCTCAATCGTTCCACCATGGAAAAAGATCGATTTTCAAGATCTTTAATCTATTGTTATTATTACTATTTAATCTGTTATTGAAGATCTTTAGCACCAAAAAAAGCCAAAAAAATCCATACGTATCTCTGATATTAATGCTAGGTTCCTCTACCAAGGTCAAGCGAATGTTGTGAAATCGCGACGACAGGTGTCGTGTCTACGCTGGACCAAAAGGGTTCTTCAACATGGCATTTTTTGTGTGAGTAGTACTTGGAATTTTGAAAGGGTGGGACTTGTGGGGGCTGGCCGATGTACAAGTCAGTGTTTTTATCCTCCCAGACAAGTCTGGTACCAACCGACCCCGGAGGGATGGAAGGCTTGGTTGGCCCGGGCGACTCACGACCCAGGATTTGATCCCCGGACCGCTCGCGTGGTAAGCGTGCCACTTGCCACTACACCACTTCCGCCTAACCAGCTGTATGGTGTCATGTGCTACTAAGATGAACTACGCTGTTGACATCATCGATGGTGATTTGGCGGGAATAGGATTTCATTTTTATGCTCGTTCTTTCGTAGAGCTGACACAGGTTGACCGTACATGGTGTAATATTCGGGGTTATATAATAATTATCCTTTTAGAGAACTTCTGCTATTTATCCTGGTGCACTCTTATTTCTATTCGTAGTGAGAATTTGGAGCACCAAGCTATGGTTTTCTTTGAGCTCCTAAAAATGGCTTCGATGCTCATGGTAGAGCCATCAGGCGCGTATAAAAAGAAAGTCTGGCTTTCACTCGCGGAGGGAAAGGGAGCAACTCAAACCGTAACTCTAATAGAATTACCATACACCGGACAAGTGCTACCATCGTTGCTGGATGGATAAAAAAATTCAACTGTAAGGAGACTTCCGAGGGGTGTCCTATGATTTTGCAACGACTACAAAACTAAAAAAATTGTCTAAAAATACGGAAAACTATTCGGATGATCTGGCTACTTGTTTGTATAGGTTTTTATAGAGGCGGTTCTGATTCTACCAGTTGCGATAGACGGCTTTTTCTAGAAGCCGAGATATTCATATTTTTGGGGGTGTCCTATGATTTTGCAACACTGTATTTGTTCCGCGCCGAGGTTCATATTAGCTAAAAGGGGGAACTAATACTTGGGCAAGCTTAGTTTATTGCGTTGCCCGTTGATTTTCTCCTTGGTAGTATTGCCTTCATGTTCCCCACTCTCTACGCCAGTGGTCATCGCTAAGTTTTAACCATGAGGGTTATATGTCTTCTTCATAGATGGTGCAACATGGTTATTGCTCGACTTCCATTTGTGTAATATATTCGTTTGTGTATTTTCTCTTGTTCTGAGATGCATCCATGTCGCTGGTGCATGTAAGATCAATAGAATAAATAAATAGTGAATAAATAAGTAGACAAGTGAGTAAATAAATAATTTACCAAATATCTATATATGAACAAATAAATGAACTCAGCCCCGCTTCTGTCCAGACGCATACGACTGCTGTCAAAGAATCTTGGACGGTGTCTTACCCTATTCTTCATTAGAGAGGTTGTTCAGCTTGCAGAAGCCTTCTTCAAACGCAAACTGTAAAACTGTCCAAAATTTTATGGTCTCCAAACATTCATTCGAAATATACCTATTTCAAATGAATGTTTGGGGAGCATCAAGTTGTGAACCCTACCAATGAGCTGTTTCAGCTGCACCTCCTGCACTCATCTGGTTTGACATCTACACAATTCTTTATTCTTTGTGATTTATCTGTGAATCACAGGATTGTTTTCTAACAGGTTGATGGCATATCGTGGATTACGCAGTATTGGTGCAGGAGAAGTACTTTTACTATCCGAGGCTCGAATCATTCCTCCTTATCGTGAGTTCGTTTGATTGCTCCGCTTTTGATCTTTGACAGAGCTAAGAGTGTTACATGTAGCTGTTCATACATCAACCATGGGAGAAGAGGGACAGTTAGGAGAATGACGCGTGACTGACTGACCCTAACTACCGATATTATGGGTTTTATCAGATCCAAGTTTGCTTATGATGGCGCTGGAGGATATGCCTGTTGTTCAACTTTTGTAGACGTCCTTCCTTCTTTGGCAGCACATATCCAAGAAACCTAAAGGAACGAAACCTCAGCGACAATTACCCGATAGTTTTATTTGGTCTGGTGTATTCACCCAAAAGAGAATTTCTGGAGAAATAGTAAACGAAGAAAGGGAGGAACCGGGGAGTACGAGCCGACTTGAAGAATGACAGGGGCTACATATTTAGAATTCTATTCAGCGGAGTGCCACGTTAAGGGCATTCATAAATTTGAATATTTCAGTTTTTCCAGAGCTCCCTCTATCGTTACCTACGCCGTCAGTAGCGTACTCATTAAAATCAAACAACACAACATCAACAACAAGTTTCCAGCTTATTCGAGCCATTTTCAACTTTTTCACACGGAAGTTTAAGTGTGCAAAACGATAGGAAAATCTTCTTTAAGAACCTGAAGAATGCACGAGCTTGCTAGATATGGTTATTTTAGCGAAAAACTCCTATACTGAATGGCAACATCCAAATACTGGAAAACGCTGCCATGATTTCCTATATATTTGATGCAGACTGTTCTCGGTGAAGAGAGAATTCGTTGTTCCAATTCTGAAATATGGAGGCACATTCGAATATTTGCGCAGACACGGCTAAGAAAGGATTTTCAAGTAAATTACGATAAAAATTTAGGCACTAAATGAATAAATTGAGCGGACAATACTGAGTTTCTGCTCTGCTATGCTTTACTCACTCTAGCAAAAACATTATTCATGCTTTAAACTCCGGAAAAGATTCTGGAGCTATAAACCTTTAGCGAATCCCAATGGAATTTTAAAGTGATCTTTCAATTTTTTTTTCACGAACCGCACTGGATCTTTTCCCTTTGTTCCTCCGTTTGACAACAGCACCATCTGAACCATCAAGGTTGCGCTTGTTGTAAAAAAACATATTTGAAGGGAAGAGGAATAGACCGCTCACTTTCCACAAAGAATACCCAATGACACACAGCCTCTGCTCAAACTATCGTTGAGCCCAGGGTCAACCGTTACGTTGGACCGACATTGGACCGACGTTGGACCGATGTTGACCGCTCTCCGCGCCGGCATTCACTCTCGCCACCCGCGAGCCGTCTGTGTCTCCGTGCGTACGTTCACTCTCGGCATTACTCTCACACGCTAGAGAGTCATGCGTTGGACTTTGTCCAACGGACGGTTGACCCTGGTTGAGCCTCTCTTCTCAGCTGCCGATCAGGACGCCTGACGGGTATTGCACTACGTTTTGCCTTTGTGCGCTAGATGACCAGGTCAGTGTCCTTTCGTAGTGATTGTCTTTACCCTCCAGGCGGCTTCTCGGCTTTATTGGTACTAAGAATTTCGCAGTTCCTAGCTACGGTTTAAATTGAGCACTCAAGAATGCAACAATCCGTGTGAGAGTGCAATCAGTCCCGAGCACGGTTTCCACCTGTAGAGGAACGGTTGAATTGTAGTGGAGTTACCAAAAGCCTGGCAAGCGCTGTTATCGCTGCTAGTTGGATCAAAAACTTGACAGCAAAGGAGATTCACACGGGTGTACCTTCTTTGCGGCGGCATTAAAGCTCTGAAAGTGGAAAACCACTGTAGTGCGCTGGAAATCAGAGTGTACGTTTTTTATTGATGTGCTTTGAATGGTAGAATTCGCGATGAAGACGCTTATGAAAGGTAATTGTTCGCAATTTGAGGGGTGTCCTATCCTTTTGCACCGCGATGGATTGGGTGTTATGTCATCTAGAGTCATCCTTCTAACGAACTGTTCTTCTAGCGATGACATGGAGCAACTTCAACAGCAAGACATGGAGATTGCACAAACAGACTGTTCGCCTCTCGTATGCCCGAATGATGATTGCCGGCTCATTCTTTAGTGGGGCGCTCGATTATGGCTCAAAAGATGTTCAAAATATTCTCATCATTGGCTTAGGTGGAGGCATCATCAGTAATTTCTACAGTACAATTCAGCATTTAAAGGTGAGCATATCTTTTGATTTTCGACCATTTCTTTGAGTAGATTTGCAGCAATATGTGCTTAAAGGCAAACCCCGGGATTGGCCCGACTAGTAGGAGGGATACCACTAGGGAAATTGTAAGGTCCGTAACTACCTAGATCACTCCAGCTTCGTCGCAAAAATTGCGCGGTTAGGGCGCTAATCCTTACGGGCCTGCAACCATCGACCCTTCCAACGCTTCCCACCCACCGCGAGAGGTGGTGAGATCAGCGTGCATTGATGTAGAGATCAGCGTGCTCTCTCAAACGACGTGCTCTCTCGTATTTTGTCTTCTTTGACCGCCCTTTCTCGCCATCGTACCACATCCGACCCTATTGAAGGTTAAGGCCTTAATTTCAGCGTTCCAAAGATTTCTCTTGCTTTCCTTCCACTTTCAGGTCGTTCCGCAGCTAAGCTATCACTACAGAGCGCTGATAGCACTAGTTCAATCCCGGAGTTTGCCTCTAAAATGGACGGGGTCTATGAGTACTCCACAGGTCGTTTCCTTAAAGTGTCATATGTGATTACCTTTTGGCATCCTCATAGAAGACAATCGTATTCCCCTAGTGTAACACAACTGTAATTCTTGCTATAGAAACATTGAAGTTCAGAGGCAATGCCTGCCCGCCTAAAAGCGGATTCTACGATGAAAAGCAGCCCATTACAAACTAAGGAAGGTCTTTCAGGACATGGAGCGTTTTCAAAATGGTTTTCTGAATGTTGTAGAGGCTCATGTGAGGAACACAGAACCATGGTCCATTTTTCCTGAACGCCTCCAGGAATGTCAAAACAGCGGGGAAGAAATGGTCCAAAGTTCGATCCTCCGTGATGAAAAATTTTTGCAATATGTTGGCGCCTCCAAATTGCCGCAAAACACCATGCCGCACTGCAACAATATAATTTGCAAAAGTTTATCATCACGGAGGATGGGACATTGGACCATTTTTCCCATTTTTTTGTTTTGACATTCCTGGAGGCGTTCAGGAAAAATGACCATGGTTCTGTGTTCCTCACATGAGCCCCTACAACATTCAGAAAACTATGAAATCTCTCCATGTCGTAAAAGACAACCTCGTAAGTTAGATGGTCAGTGATGCACGAAAGAAAATAAAGAAGAAAAAACAAAAAAATGGCTCAAAACCCGAGAAACGGAACCCTTTCCTTGCCCGTTGATTTGCGCATTGATGCGACTCTCATCGGTGCTGCCCTCTTCAACGCTAACGCTCTCTCTGAGAAACGGCTAGAGGCTCAGACGAGATGGGGCGTTCTACGTCGATAGCGTTCCAAGTAGCGCCACGGGGAAGGCCATGCTAGATCGCCGGGGACATATCCCCCGATGCGAATTGCGTGTCGGTCCGCACCCTAGGAGGTCCGCCACCTCCCCACTAGGTAAGTTTCCCCTTCTTCGACTTTCGTCCTTATCGTGTGATCCTCTTTTAAAGTTTGAAACTATCTGGTTGAGCTGAATGTGACAACCATCGACATCGACCCCGTTATGAAAGTGATCGCCGAGAAGTGGTACGAATTCGAAGAAACTCAATTGCAACGAATAATTGTTGACGATGGGCTTCGCTATATTCGTCAGGCAGTAAGCAGAGGTACATACGGCACTTAAAAGTACACAGTAAGCTCTCCAAAGCTGTTCAACGCTTCTGAATGAGAATGCGCTTTCAGGGGAATTGTACGATGTCCTTCTGATTGACGTCTCCTACAACGACAATCGACCACTGATGGCACCAGTAGAAGAATTTCTTGCTTCGGATGAAATCGAGAAAATGAACGAAGTGATCAAGAAAGATGGTAGGAGCTCCTCCTCCATGTAGTGACTTGACGGCGATAATTCTGCATCCCGTGTATAAGAAAAATTGAAAAAATGAAAAAAAACACTGGGAAAACTCATCTCTGGTCATTATGTTCAATTTAATGTTTGAGAGTTTATGAGTTTCTTTTCTTTGGTGTGCTCTCAATGAAATTGAAAACTCAACTTTAGCTTTGTTATGTACATCGATCTTTATCGTATCACTTTCAGAACCTTCATTTTCCTCCTATTTTTCCCATCTCAACTATGACACAGTTCTCTATGCTGGCTATTAACTGTTTGGCAGTCATCATGAACCAATTAACTACCCGTCAACTTGCAGGAGCCGTGATCGTGAATATCGTCACCCGTCATGAGAACATTGACGAAGCAGACCGGGTACGCTTGTTTGTTGTTTCAGCGATCCGCTCCTCCCACTAAAATAGCAGCACTGTGCTGTTAGCTTCGAAATGGTGGGGGACTTTGCACCGTTTTGGCGGAAAAGTAATATCACATATAAATCAGGGCAGTAAAAACCAAAATTTCATTTCGCACAATTTGACGATTTTGATTGTAAAATTGTTGCGTTAAAAAGTTGTTCTAGACCCATTGGGACGTCATTAAAAGTTACCGGTGGACAAATTTTTAGGTACATTTCGCCTTTTCGCGCCATTTCCCGTCATGCTACTTCATGCAGTTTGCTAAATTCGACAAGGTTGGTTCTGTGCTCAAAATATACAACTAGCTCTCCGTGGCTGCTCCCTCAAGTTCATTATGTTCATTTAGTTTTTTTATTGCAAAGGGCGGAAGTGGTGTAGTGGCAAGTGGCACGCTTACCACGCGAGCGGTCCGGGGATCAAATCCTGGGTCGTGAGTCGCCCGGGCCAACCAAGCCTTCCATCCCTCCGGGGTCGGTTAATTGGTACCAGACAAAAATTTCCTGTAGGCCCAATCGAAGTTGCACTCGAACAGAAATGTGTTCAGTATTCGTCAGTCAGTATTTAGAAGTGGGCGGATAGCGCTAGGGATAACGCCACTCCTAGACGGGCACGAAGCATACGCATGGAATCAGAAACTGAATTTTCGGATGTTAGGTATTCCCTACCCCTAACAATTCATTTTCTGACCTGCCACAGATCATACCTTTTCAATCATGTCGATGTATTTGCGTTTGTATGGATTGAATACCACTGTTCCATATTCAAGCAAGGGGCCTGACATAGGTTTTGAAGGCATGAAGAAGAACAGAAATGTTCGTAGTAGACAGGGCTTTGAACAGCCTGTAAGTTGCATTGTAACCCCGGTTAGCCACAAATTCGCAATGCTGGTCGAAGCAGAGGTCACTAGTAACCAAGAAGCCGAGATCCTTGACCTTGGCAACAGGTGTGATTTGAGACCCACCAATACTGTAGGAGTATGCGGGATTATGAGAACCAATGTGCAACAGTTAGTTAGGTGCAATAGTTTAATTCTTCGTAGTTATGCTCATTTCATGGCTGCCTGTCCTTCGCGACCGATGAAGGTGTCTCTTGAAAGCGATAAAATTACGACTTACGAAGAAAGTTAACACACTACAATTCAGGGAAGAGGTAGTCAGTGGTGCAGGGATAAAAAAGAGTGTGGTCATCGATGTTGAACCCTTCAAATTAGCAATCACTCTGCTTGATGCCTAGTGTCAGACGGCAAACGGGTACGCGGCGCGAGCGGAGCTGGAGCAGCCCTGGTGGACCGCCACTTTTAACTGTGGAACACGCATCACTCAGCACCCGCCTGCATTTCGGACTTGGTAGATTCTTCTACCTCCAACCTTACCGTGGAATCCTCTTTTAGAGGCGATTGAAAATAGGGAGAAGCACTTGATTGATGTCATAGAGCAATGAGATTTCGCAGAGTATTCTTGTGTTATTTTGATTGCGTATTTCGCCATGCGAACGATTCACCACGACTTGTATACAACACTGGCCTTTTTGATTCCTGTGCAGGGTTTTCTGTTGCGTGAGTCAAATTTGCACAAATTCCTGTATGGGGATCCAACACTACGCTATAAAGGATCGCTCTTTCCTACATCCTGTTTGGTTATATATTTCATACACCGCCTACGCATATCGAAGCTCGTCAATCGAGGGTGAGGTACCATTGAAGAAACAGCACAGTTGAGAGTTTTTTTTTTCAAAATTCCTCACATGTCGAATAAATTAAATCTTATTCAAATTCAACAAGCACAACCCTTAATTGAATTTATCTTAACGGACCGTTCATCATGCCGCGGTGGTCTCTCTTTGAGAAATTCAAAGGCTCAGGATGTGTTTGGTTCAAATTGCATAATATTTGCTTATCCACAGATGCTGTTCTGTTCAAAAAAAGAGAAGAATTCATGGCTAGACAACAGGGACGAGCTGCACGACCGGTTCAGAAGGGTCGATGAACAACTCCAGCTTGGATTGGTTGATGAATTGCAGATAAGAGCATCGGTACAAAATTGATCGCCTCGTAATTAAGTTACTGTAATTCAAAGATGCCTCAGTGGTGATAAATTATGATGTAGTCCAGTAAATCTTATGTGTGTTGTGGCTCCCATATTAAGCTCATGGTTCCGATAATTAGTGGATTCTTGCCACATATTCCACTTCGTCAGTTCTGAAAACCCACGCACAACTTGGTCTTACAGTGCGGTCTCAAAAAGCGACCAGAACCTGAACATTCAAACCTTCTTGTTTTATTTTGGAGTTTTATTTTGCTAAACGGTCAGTGATGTAGACACAAGACGACGCGAGAGTGGGGGTGGACCAATAGCGCGCCAATTGGACCGTAGGGAATGCCATGCTAGATCGCCAGGGCCTCTTTCGATGGAATTGCGTGTCGGTCCGCACCCTCAGGAGGTCCGCCTGTCCTTCCACTAGACAATTTTCCCCTCAACACATTCACGCCGATGGCCGCCCATATGGGCTGACAAGAAGGAACGATGGCAGCGCATATGGGCTGCCAACTTATAATCACACGCCAGGCGCTAGAGGAAAGAGTTTGATCTTGACGGGCCGGGTGGATTTTGCTACTACTGGAGAGGCTTGGCCGTGAGTCGCTCGTGCTCTCGAGAAGGAATTTCGGAAGAGGCCCGTTGATGGGTCTGCGGCGGTTTCGCAATCAGCGGAAATTCAGAAGTTGCCGTTCCATTATTGCGTATGAACTGTAAAGAATACCAAGCAGTGCTCCAATGTCACCTGTTGCCCTTCCTTAGCGAAGCGGAGCGAAAATTGCATTTTTAGCAACAGGACCACGTGTCTTTCGATGCTTCGCAATCTACCAAAGAATGGCCTTAACCAAATGGTGCTGAAGCGATAGATTGGCTTGTGTGTCCTCCTTACTGCAACCCTATAGGGAGCCCTTGATCAAGGCGTTAACTTTAGCAACCGGCAGTATAATACCGCGGATGAACTGAAGGCGGCGGTAGAGGCTATTTGGGCCGACAGCGACGAAACAGCTATGCCAAACGTGGTTCAGATTATGCCGGACAGGATGTTTGAGCTAATTAGAAACTCTGGAGGCCCCACTGATTTCTAATCTCAGCTATGTTTTTGTCTTTTGTTAAGTGTGCACATACTTTTGAAACAAAGAAAAAAATTTCATCCAAAATTTTTTTTCGAAAGTGAAGCGATATTATCTGCTTTGCTTCCATTGATAGGTTATCGACTACGAGAATCGATTGAGAAGGATTTCATAGCACGAAACCTCATGGTTCCCTTTCAAACGTGAATTTTGAGGGTGTGCACATACTTTTGAAACGCACTGTGTTAGTGTTTCGGCGTTGTTTCCGCATAGGGACAAGCACGCCGAACGGTTGTGTCTTCGTTGACTTTTCGAGAAATTAAGTCCAACATATTTCTAACATCATCTTTGATTTTTTTTTTTTTTTTCTGGGGAAGGGGGCTGGAGGGTTTTGGACAAAATTCATAAAAGCACTGATAAAGAAGTGGCTCAGTCAATAAAGATAATCATCAAAATGCCGCTTATCAGCTTTTCAAAATTGTCACTGGAACACACCTGTTAATTTTGAGCCAGAGAATTATCGACCGTGTAGCCCCTGGCTGTACCATGCAACACGAATCGTTAGTTTAGTGAGCGGCTTGCGCCCTACAGACAGCAGGTACAAAAGAGAAAGTCACAATTTCAAGTGGGTTTTAACATAAACGGACGGCGTGCGCAACAAGGTGGCGCAACGGACTATTCTTATGTCTTTTGGTAACTGTGATATATAGGCAATGAGATACCCCATATACTGCTCAGCAATGTGGATAATCATCTTCCATGGACATCTTCGGACAGCCGGCAACGCGCTGGATTATTAGTACCACAAAACCTGACAATAAATTTTACATACATTTTGTCTTAATTTACATAAGTTTACTATTTGATGGGTGGCTTACCCATGGTTCGCACGTCCCGAGACCCCTTCCCCTAAATATAGCCACATCCTTGCTCGGGGTTGTTGTTTCGCATTTTTCGATAATGTCACCTACAGCTTCCATTCATTCTTTGCACCCTAGTTTTAGAGCGGAAAGGCGGGCTACGAACTTGTCGTCAACGGAAATCTCTTTTTTTCGGATGATGAGACTCCGACACCTACTTTAGCCCCGTCTTACCCCTGCTGTTCACATAAGCCTACATAAACCCTACCCTGGGTGGCGGCGTGCGCCACATGGTGGCGCACGCATCAAACCACTGGCCGTCCGTTATGGGTTTAAAGATGACCTTGAGAATTGTTTGAGTTGCACTGGAGTACTGGGGACTATATTTCCTAATTCGATGGAAAATTTCGTGCTCAACAGTGGCTAGCCCTTCCCACCCATTCAGAGTTGATACTTCTTTCAGACTATGCGATAGAGAAGTCTTCATTCAAAATACTACATATTGAGCACAACAAATATTTTACGTGGAGTGAAGCACAATTGTTGAGGCACATATACGTCACAAATTGTACCAGTATTCTACTAGCACTCTTTGGACATAGCTTATTAATCCACATGAAGTACAGGCGAGTGAAGTTTTCTCTTACTGTAAGCCAGCAGTGAGTCCAGTTCATCGAATTGAAATTATCGTGAATACTATTCATTCAAGTTGAGATAGTAAGACCAGTAGATAATGTTAAATATTGTGAATAGTCCTGGAAACGCCACCATACTCATGCGATCTATACGATCCGTCGACCAGCCTTTTCTCAATGTCGGCACGAATGATTTGTCCTCGCAGCCGTCCAACAGAAGCATTTTCTCTGGTGTCCTTCAAAAATAACATATTTGAGATACCGGAGCGCGATGCTGCCATTGGAAGTGAGCGCCAAGGTGAGCCACGTATAGAAGAATTCCTGATTAAAGGTTCTCAGACCCACCTTCTAACCCAACCAATTGTGATCCCACTCTCACCTCAGTCTTCAAGACCTACTGCCATTTTCTTCCCGCCCACGTGAAGCTTTACCTCCTGATTTCTCCCAAAAAATATATTGTACGTTAAGTGACAGAATAAGGCACATATTAGACTGGCAATAAAGAGCTCACAAAGTCAAAGCTCACAAAGTACCACTCCCAAAGATCGTGAAAATTTCGCGAAATCTCGAAGAACTTTTCAAAACCAAAGCCAATAACTGCTCCAATTTGGGTACCGAAAGTGCAGTTCTAATACAATCCAATTCGATCTCCTTTTCCTGAAAGCCAAATACTACCTAAAAACCTATCGGTAGAGGTCAGTGGTGCGGTGATGAAGAAAAAACCATGAGAAACGGCCCAGAGCGAAATGGGATCTCCACTTCCGGTTATTTCCACACTGATGCTCCTCTCAACGGTCCTGCCCTCTTCATCGCTAACGCTCTCTCTTTCCGCTAAGCGCTAGAGGATCAGACAGGGATAGGAAGGCGCACCCCACTCATGTCGCGCCGATACGCCGAAGGCAGGGCCATGCTGGCATGCCTTTCACTGCGAACTGCGTGACAGGCTGCACCCTAAGGAGGTCCGCCGCTCTCTCCCTTAGGTAAATTTCCACTTGACCTTCGACCTTATCGTGAAATCATCTTTTAACGAGAAATCTCCAGTGTTGGCAGACCATGGTAGGAGCATCAGAATATGTCTTACAACTTACTGTGCAATGTCTGCAGATGTCCTTGAAATGGTCCCAGGTGTTGCCAGCAGCATTTTCTTCCGCATACGTGGATCTTAAATTTTATGGTGGTACGTCTCCATAATGGTTAGTTGAATTGATAGCTGTCATTCTAGTAGCTATCCTTACCAGTGGTTCCGTAACTCCGGAATCCATGTGGAGAATCTGACTGTACATGATTACGGCAGATACGTGGAGATGTACAGGAAGAGGATCGCGATCGCTGAGGTGGTCCTGTCCCTTTCGCCTGAATCAGAAAATTTGAATTCTATAGAACAAGACAATGATAACGAGTAAAAACGCTTCGGACTGCTCATGTTGAAATACGAATTTTCCTCTGAAGTGAGGTTTTTGAACGGCGCAAGCAAATTTTCGTAAACGTCTATGGACTAAAGCGGGAATTACGATGAGATTGGTTGAATTTACAGCTGAAGCTGATCTGCCTAATAATGCACCAGTGACGTCAAAAAGAACAGAAAAGGCGGAGCACCAAATTTTGTAACGCACTGCGCTGCAACCAGTACACCACTGACAACGGAAAGACAACATATGGTATCATGATGATGATGTAGGTCTGTGTTGATGTCCAGGCTTGAGTATGGCGTGGCCAGTGTCTACATAATCCTCATCTCGTGCGGTGGGAAGGTTTGATCGTCCTACCTCGAAATTTGCCCTTGTTAAAGCCTAGACCGTTTTCAAACTCAAGTGCCTATGTCCCCTTTACGCTCCTCCTTTACACTAAAACACTGCGAACCGCTTGGCTGACAAGCTCATGCGTCTCTTCTTGTGGCTCGCAGATAGGCTAGTGGACTCAACTCAGGTTGTTGGCTTACTTACTGGTTTTGTTACTGACATTTTTATAGCATCGTTGAAATTTTAACTTAACATACTTTACTTTAATTTCACATACTTTGATTTCATGGCGTGTTCAAGCACAAATAAATAAATAAATAAATCATTTCAGCCCTGGCTACCGCTTGTGTACTTCCATGCTGTAATATCTCGCTTCAAGGGTGGATAATACGAGTGTTGCAAATTGCAACAAGAGATTGATTAAACTTTGTATATGGTTAGAAGTTTTTCCTTCAGTTTTTCTTATCTTCTAGCTGATCAGTTTCTTATGTTTACATTTTTCTGCGTTCAAACGTCTTATCATATTCATCTTTAGGCTATGCTTACATACTATCCGCTTGCCGACGTCTCCGCCTGCATAAAAGCCCCCGACCAGAACACGGCAGTTCAGTCTCCTGCGGTCCCGAGCAAGACATAAGACCGGATTACGCCCTGTCGCTACTTTCCTCAAGATCGGACCTTGCAAGACAGGAATCCTCGGACCCTAAGATTGGATCAATACCCGAGGGGTAAGCAAGAGCGGAACGCCTCTTAGTTAACCGTGCAATAACTATATTGTATTATATTTATTGGTTCAGCACACGCAAGAAAACCGCGTGGACCAGCTTAAGGCTGTTGAAGGCGAGCTTGAAGGAAATTCCTATAATTGGTGCATCAGCCCAAGATAGGATTCAGGTCAGTTTTCACTTTTCATCAAGACCGATCTTCATCACTTGCAACGAGATCGTGGCTTTTTTGGAGGTGAACATAGAGGTGGTAGGGGATGCACTGATCAGGAGAAATTCGAGAGAAAACGGCTCAAAGTCCCCCATGTGTTCCCAGTTGATTTCCATTACCGGCGAATCCGAAGGTAGGTCATGTCAGTGACGTGAGTGCCTGCTCTGGCCTCTCACACTCTCACCTTCGCAGCCGGTGTCTCTCACCATCACCACTCGCAGCTCGAGTGCACCAGTAGGAGGCGGGCCGCACGATGGCACAAGGCGCTTCTCACCTACGTGAGATGAGTGAGGCTTCCGGAGCGGGAATTTCTCTACTTGCTTCCTTCAGCGCCCACCACCGTTTTGTGGAGGGCATGTGCCCCTCCTTCTTCTCCGATTTGCCGTATCATTCTCATTAGGCGTAGCGTAAGGAACGGTGTTTCGAAAAGGCGCTATCCGTATAACTGCTGGGTTTCTAGAGATCCCTTACAATTAGATGTACATCAACTCTTCTGAGAAGAGGGTCTCCACGTTCTCCGATATACATGAAATTCTGAACATGGCGCACACGTTATTCGTAAATGGCACATTAAAAGGCATATTTTCCGCCGTTCCTGAAATTATTGGCAGTTTGAGCGGCCACACATATCTTCATAGGATCGAGATGATCTGACAAGGGAAGGATACCAGGTCGAAGTGGCCATTTGTAACGAGACATACACCACTAGATGTGTTTTTGGACGCTGATCTCGAATCTGCTCTCCAAATCTGCGAAACGATTTTCTGAACGTAGTTATGAAGCGAGATAGTGCACAGTGCCAGCGGCTTCGAGCAAGAGGCCGCAAGATCGAATTTTTGGCAAGTACGCACTTTCGCTTTTCTTGAAAACATTGTTTAAGGAACTTTCATCCATGCTAAGTCATCAGGGATTGCCTATCAGGGGGAAGAGCTCGCGAAGTGCTTCAAACCAGCCTCGGGGCATCATTTGCAATGCCCCGTTCCTCTGGAGCTCGGTAAGCGCATCCGTACGCTAACTTTCTTGCCAAGTAAGTGTGACTTTCGTGTTCAGCGCACCAAACTACCCCTTCCGACAACTTTTGGTCCAAATCCAAAAATTTGACCTCAAGTCGAAGATGTGGGCACAAACGATCGACAGGGCACGGCAATAACGCGCACAGGTTGTTCAACCAGCTCTTGCCAGCTCTTCCTACTTATATACATAGGCATGTCTGATTATTTTAGCATGCATAGAACTTATTTTGCATATGCAATATTTTCACAAATCAGCTGAGAACCTCACCGCAAGAAGTTGATCTTTACGACCCTTTCGCTCGTTCGGCTCGGCCCGCTGCCACTGCACTATCTCGCTCATAACTACGTTCGAAAATCGCTTCGCAGATTTGGAGAACAGATCCGAGATCAGCGTCCGAAAACACATCTAGTGGCTGTATAACTCGTTACAAATGGCCACTTCGACATGGTATCCTTCCCTTGTGAGCAGACGGCGTAACGTAGGTGGGGGTGAATATCAGGCGGATCTACATTCCAGACCTATACATGGATCCCACGCAAAGAATTCTGAGAGGTAAGGCATTACATGTAGACCTGGAGGAGGGAAATATGGGGAGGCATTGGAAACGCGAAGAAGGAACCTGCAAATTAACAACGGGGAAGGGCTGCGAACAGCCGTGGAACTGTTTTGCATAGCAAGATGAGAAAATGAGAACCACGCGACAGAAGCAAAATCGCAGAGTATCCAGCAACCCTCACCCTTGCCATTCATGAGCTGGCTGTCCCATTTCTTTTCAAGGGAGCAGCTAGAGAGGTGAGTCCCTCTAACGTAGTCCCTCCTACCCTCATCTCACCACATTTACAGCGTTACGTGAGGCTCCCGGCATCAAATGGGAGCGTTCTTGTTTTCCAGTGCAATATAATTGTTTTATCTAGATCGATTGTTGATGATAGCATGTTTGTCATTGTAGACTTGTGGAAGGGCTAACGGCAGACCCCGGGATAAACTGGTGTGTAGGGGCGCACTGTAGTGAATGAAGTAAAAGTGGAACCGAAAACAAGAAAAGTCATCGGAGAGCTAAAATCAGGGTCTTGACCTCCAGTATGATCGGATGTAGTGCGGCGGCGAGTCAAGAAGAGAGAGAAGACAGAACACGCAAGGGCGCGCCATTTGAGAGATCGCTCTGATCTCCATATCGATGTGGTGGGGGGGGGAGCGTTGCAAAAGGGGCCGATGGTTGCAGTCCCTCGACGATTAGCGCCCTACCGCGCATTTTGTGCCACGGGCATGGCACGCTCTCTGTAGGGAAGGACACTACAAGCTCCCTCACAGATCTTTCCTGCTGGCTAATCCCGGGGCTTGCCTTCAGGGCCAGAAACGTCATCGCATGAAAGATTCTAACACATTCACGACGACGCCCCTTTTCCACTTTTCGGTCGCGTGGGACGGACGCGATTTTGTGGGCGCCGCCGCCTCACCACATAACCGCAGATTTTGTTTTGTAAATGAACAAAAACATGAATGTCACAAAATAATTTCTGCAATGTCCAATGCGTAAAGATTATCTAAACATATAACAGTAGGATTTCGATCAAACGACGATAGTGGTAACGAAAAGAGAGCATCTCTCTTCGTGAAAG